TGGAAGATGGATTTACTTAAAATGTCACCTTTGTGTCTGTGATTACTTTTCTTCAACTAGGAATAACTTCTCTATAAGATGCTGTTTGTCCATTCCAGTTTGATTTGAAGACACATTAGAAATTACCTTGCTACATCTTTAGATTGTTTCAGTACATGATCATGGTATTTGGCTTTATAAATGTGACCCATTTCCCTTGAAATGTTGGTTTATTAACTTGAGAACTGAAAGAAAAAGGACTCAATTTACACCTTGTGTGAGTGATCCTGCTTACTAGGTGCTAGTAAGATATTGTCTTTGTGTGCTGGATGTCTTCCCTATGCTGCAAATGAGATGGAGATAATGTATCTCGAAAAAGGTTGTATAATCTTTTATATCGCTGCCTTAAAGGCAGATTTTTTCCTACAGATTCTGTAGTCTTAGCCAGAAAAGACCTTTTTATTTCTTCTTTGTTAGCTTTTTAAAGGACTTATTTCATTGTTACATTAAAATAAGGCCAGACTGTTCTAGAAAAGCCATTTTCTCTGCAATAGCAGATATTTAACAGGACAGTTAGCTAAGTGATAAGTGACTGGGCACAAAAACTGGGGAAAGCAGATGACCCTATACAGAAATACCCGTTTTCAAGTGAGTCCAGTTATTATTAGAGCATGTGGAATATCCTGTCAATGTCTCAGGAAGATTATTTTAGGGATTAATAACTATGTTTTTTTGCTCTGGCTTATGTCAGTAGTTACTGAAAAACCCTAAAAATCATACAATGGCTGTTGAATCAATAAAATCGGGTAACATCAGATCATTTTTTGTTCAGCATATATGTGTCTAGCTGAACTGCTGTATCAGGTATCACTCTTCTTGGTAGACCAGCTAAAAGTTGAACATTTGCCAAGTGCAGCTGAAGCAGGTGCTGCTTAGCACAGGCTGTCTCCGTGTTGTGACTGAGGTACTGAGAGGAGTCCCCTGGATGGTCTGGTGGTGGGGGAGGTTGGTTGCTTGGTATTTTTGTTTGTTTGTTTTAGTTAGTTTGTTTTTTAAATACAGAGGTAGGCTCTGAAAAATGTAGTGTGGGAAACCCTTACATCTACTATGAGACTTCTATTTACATAATTTATTTGTGAAGCATTCTGTATGGTGAAAAACACATAAACCAAAACAGTTTTAAAAGGTAGCAAATCTGAATGCCAGTCCCATGCCCCATTTCTTTAGAAATAATTTTGAATTTGGGTACTGAATGCAAAGTAAAGGTATAAATTGATTGCTCATACCAACTTCATAAAGGCTTGAATGATTTTTCCAGAATAGATAGAACAATATATCGAGTATTTCTTGTGTTCACAATTTTTCACCTATGAAGACAGTGTTCAGAACTTAGACCATACCTATTTATCTGTTTAGATAGTTATTATAGCTTCGATTGCAGTTGTCTACAACTCTCATGTAAGGATTTTTAGCTTGTACAGTACAGGTCTGTAAATTGATCAGAAGATTAAAAATTAGAGCGCTTTAGAGAGCATGCTGGCTGGATATGCTAGCTTTTTTAGTTATTTTAGACGGATGGAAAACTATTGCTTTGAGACTTTTAATTGGAAATAATATTATTTACAAATATTAATTCTATTTCTTGACTTTACATAATTTTGTTGCTGTGTGTTAAGCTGCCAGTGATTCATGTATGTTTTTTTGTAGTGCCATCTGATTTTTCATGGGTGCTTTCATTGCTCAGAAAGAAGGGTTAAATACAGTATTAAAAACAAGATATGCATTTTGCAGTGCACTTAGGCATCTGTTGTATGTCCTTGCAATTGCATAGAACAGGAAATGATGCTTTGAGATACTTTGTGCAGAAACCTTGTATGAAAAATTCCCGAGGGAAATGATGCTTGAATCATTTTTAGTTGCCTGGGATTCTTCAGTCCTTGAACTTGATTGTATGCATTCTGACTTTGATTTCGAGGACTGAGTCTATAGAGAAATAAACATACAGATCTTCAGTAAGGACTAGGGCACAATAATCTTTGGTTTGTTACATCTTATATGAAAATGAAGCATTCATTTTTTATCTCCTGTAATGCAAATGACTCTACCCAAAAGACAGATTCCCTTATGGATATGAGATACTTTTGTATTTGTAACTTGATATTTGATTTGCAAGGAAAACTGTGTAGGGACTTTGCCTTCAGTTCTGTGTACTTGCCGGTGCTACCATCATCTGTTTCTTGCTTGCTGCCTTGCATCCTTGTTTTGTTTATGTTTTTGAGAACTTTTCTTGTTCCTTTTTAAAGCTTTTTTTGGCAAGAGATATTCTGGTGTGTGTGCTGTGGTTGGAAGTGTCACAGGGTTACTCAACAGATGTTGACTCTCTTTATAAATCAGATTCTTGCTTGTTCATAGTGGTGGTTGAAAGTTGCTATTAGTGAACATGTCTCACATTTATTACTGATACTGGCTTTTTCTGTTACTCTGCTGACAGACCTTGCAGGGGGGTTCAAGGCTGGCATGAAGTTCGCCGTTCCTTTTTAGTGTGCTGTTTCAAGAAAAAATTATTTGACTGTGGGTTTTTGAGTAACTTGTAGTTAGTAACTTGTGAATACTTTAAAAATTACATGAAATTACAAGGAAATTAGAGGTTCTCTTGCTACACTGAAATGCTGAAACTCCTGTTTCTGAAAGGTCATGAAGTTCTCTGTATGGCTCTGTTTTGAACTGGAGTTACGGTACTTCTGTATGTAAATTATAGTCAGCAGTTGTTACACATACTAAAACTACCTTTTGGCTAATTAAGGACGTTTTTGTTAGAAAAAAGATGGAAGAATATTGAAGACAGATTTTTTTCAGTGCTATGTTTAATCTTGCTAGCTTAACAGTTCACCTATTTTTAACTACAGGTGTTTGCATATGAACATTTTTCAGTATCTGTGGTTGATGCATTTGAAACTTTGCATCATATGTTGCATATTAAAATCTGAGAAGAGAAACAAAAGATTGCAAGGGAATATTAAGTAGATGGGTTGCTGTGAGTCACTTGATGGAGGAAATCACTCTCATTTTTTAGAGGCTGGTGATATTTTTTTTTACTAGGAGCTATTTCTTTTGCCAGTTTACTAGGATCAAAATGTTCTTACTGGCTCCAGTTTCTGCTTGTGTCCTGAGATTGAAAGCCTGAAAAGCGACATTTATTTGTGCAGAACTGATAAAATGCTCTTGTGTTCAGAAGCTGAACAGAGTGTTTAGGAACACCTCAATTACAAACGCCATCTTTAGGCTAAAGGATTATGTAAATTTTACCCTAATCTTTGCATTGTTTGAACTTTAAGCTCGAGCCTCTCATTTTGGCAGTTCTTCAGTGCTCACTAATTTTTCATTCATTAGTCACCTAATTGCCGAGTCTTCTTGGTTTCACACTAATGCTTTAAAACATGAATGAAGATGATAGATGAGGACAAACTAGGCTGAGATAGAGTCCTTGATATTTATAACTGTTCTTTCCAAAATCTGCTGTTAATTCTTCTAGGCTATTTGGAAGAGTTGGCTGTCAGGCTGCTCTGGATTCTCCATATTTTCTTGTTCCTGAAGCAGCTCAATTTCTTGGCTTGGCCGCAGTGTCCATTTGTATGTTTTTTTTCTTGCTGAAAACAGGGTTGTTAGAGGTACGGAGGCTGGTCTTTGGAGCACTTGCTAGTATTTGTTCTCCCGGTTGGAGATAAGCAAGATATGTGTTTCTGAGGACAAACTGTAGCATCTGTGGACAAATGTGTTGTGTTTTACATCCCTGAATGCAAAATGTCTTTCTCTGGATTAACTCCCACCAAGGAGCTGCAGTATTTTCCTTGTAGTAATATGGGTTGCATTTGTGGTTAGAGTGGAAATGTCCTGTCTCCTCTATAGATGTTGTTTGGAGTTGGCTGAGCCCACCTTGCCAGCTAGCACTGCAGTTGGAGATTGCAGCTCTAGGAGTGAAGCAAAAGAGATTGTTTTGGAGTCGGATAGGGGGGAAAACCAAGCAGTAAATTCTGACACGGATCAGCCAGTTGCTGAGCCACAGCAGCAGAGCTACTGGAGGACAAGAAGACTATTATTTCTGTTTGAATGCCCTTTGAATAGGCTATAGGCTCTGGTATCTAAATTTGTTTCACGCATCGTTGAACTAGAATCTTTAGAGGAGGGTCATAGGATTTTGCATGCTTTCTTTGTGTCTCCTGCCTTTGAGTGCTGGTGTGGCACTCACTTTGAAAGTTGAAATGGAAGGCTTTATATAAGGCTGAGAAAGTAAATATTTTAATATGTTGCTTGAGTCATAGATATATAAAATTATCTATAAGAAAAAATCCCACCCAAGATTGCTTATTTCCGCATGAGAGAAAGGATTGCATTAGGGCTGTAAAAGGAAAGGAGACGTTTTTACTTTTGTGTTCAGAATTTGCATACTGAAATGTTCAGAGAAAATAGCTAAGGGTGGAAAAAGCAAAGGTGAAGTTGTAATATGAATAGAGGAAAATGTCTTACTGGAGAAGTCTAACCAACTGCATGTTCTGTTTTACTTGTATTAAGTAAGGAGGTACTAGTCAAGATCATCCCTGAATTGTGTGGGAGGGAGAATTTTTTTGTACTTGTGTGTGTGAGATATGTCCAGCCAAAAATGGGGTCCTGGAAGTCACATGTTTATCTCTAAATAGAAGGCAAATAAAACAAGCAAGCTGTATGTCTTTCTTGTCGTTCCTTCGAGTCTTTCATTGTTGAATGTTGATTTTTTTTAATATCTAACGTCATTTAAAATTTAAGTGTTAAACCCTTTCTATGTGCAGTATGACCAGAGGTGCAATGGTGTAAGGGGTGCTGCTTTAGCATACACATTTGAAAATACTAGTGATCATCAAGTTATTTTGGTTATGGGGGGAGAAATTATATTTTCAAGTGTACAGGAATGTCTAGGAATTCTTACTCTTGTTTTGTTTTTCAGTGATTCAAATTAAAACTCCTCTGCTTATCTTTTTCTGTTTTAGACATCAAAAAATAAAGATGGGAAAGAGCAGAGTGAAGCTATAACACCATCGGAGGAGGAAGAAACTTTCTCTTGGCCTGGTCCTAAAACTGTCGTGCTAAGGAGGACATCTCAGGGTTTTGGCTTCACCTTAAGACACTTCATAGTTTACCCTCCGGAATCTGCAGTTCAGTTTTCTTTTAAAGTAAGTGGAATTGATAATGAAGCACTTTATATAAGTATAGATAATATAGCCTTGTACCTTTTAGGGTCAAAAATACAGCTTACTTGAAGGTAAATGTGTTTATAGATATGTCTTGCAGAGATGAAAGATTCCTTGTAGGGTGGGTGGGTTCGTGGCATTGTTTAATAGCTGTTTGCTGTTCCAATAAAACAGAATTGACTGAGTATGTCAGTTAAAAGTATTTGTATCATGGGTAAGAACAGTGGTCATTTCATTACAGGAAAGTATTTCTCTGTACAGATGATTCTTTTACCCAAAGCCAGTGTCATTAATTAGCCTGTACCTCTTCTGAAGTGTAGACTTGAAGAGTATGATGTTTGGGTTTTGTTGTTGTTCCCCTCCCCAGCTGAAGTTTGTCACACCATAACATTAAGAGATGAAGAAGAGTGCTTGCTTTATTTTCTAACTGAGTAGCCTAAACTCAGTCTACATTAGAAAGACAGATTGTGTTTCTGTGCTGTGTTCTTTCGCTGAAAAGAGGATCCGCAGTTCTCTGTTAGTCAAGAGACTAATATATACAAGATATATACAGGCCTACATTAAAAGACAATTTTCTTAAAGTATTTTACTTTTTTTTATTTAAAACAAGAATATCTGAATGTTAAGTAGCTAATTGGTCTTCCTTGCTCAAAGCATGTACGTGTTCTCTTTTGTGACTGAAGCTTTTGAAAGTTCCTGCAATATAGAGTGTTGAGAAAAAGTCCATTTAATAATGAGAGGAATTTGAAAATTGAGAGAGGGTGTTTTCTAGTGAGTTTAAATAACATTTACTCATTTTAAAGGCATCAAATATAATAGTTTTCATGAGCCATGCTACTCCTCAGTTTTGCTTTTGCTTTTCCACTTAGGTAGAAGAATAAATTCTTACCAAGCTGGGGAATGGGTACTGAAGCTTTCTGAGAAGAGCTTGAAGTTAATTGACTCATGTATCTCTGCAGATGTCTTTCAGTAAAGTTGTCTGTCTTTGCCTGCCCTTGGTGGCTGTAAGATTTCTTTAGAAGTAGAAGAAGCTTTGCAGAAAAAGTTGTCACATTTTTCCAGTTTACTACAGCTATTCAGCCTTCACTTGAGTACCCAAATTTTTTCTTTGACAAGGAGTGACTGAAGTTACATGGAAGTGAAACTATTAGCAGTATCAGGTGATCACAACATTTGTCGTTGAGCACAGGTAATAGCAGCCTCTGGTTGAATTCAGTGTGAAACTGAGGAAGGAGGATGGAGAAGAAGCCTTGCCCTTGAGCAGAACAAATGGTCTGCACTTTGCTAGCATCTCTCAGTAAGAGCCCCTGTTTGTGCTGGGGGTGAAAATAAATAGCATGAGCAGGACTAGCCTCCTTAACTAAGAAGTGACTGGATATGTGTAGAAAAAAGCCATCACTAGATGTCTCTGAGGGAGTCAGTATGTTTTTCATATGCAAAAGGAGACAGACAAGGGATGGACATTATAAAGAAGAAATGTCCTGTTCATATCTGGTTTCTGAGAGACCCAAGCAGTTCATAGTGATCCCAACACCTGTAAATCTCAAGACTTGTCCTGAAGCTCTTAACTCCCTCTTTTTCTGCAAGAGAGATCTTCATCTTTTCCTATTTTTTTCTGTTTCCTTTCTGACATGTTGGAATCTGGTTCATTCATTTCTATTTCTGTCTGATTTTGAAAAGGAAATAATGAGATGATTGGATACTCTAACACTTTTATTCATGGATTCAGTTACGTACAAAGATGGTAAGGTTCCTTTGGACAGAGCCCTTGTCCTGAACAGTTATATTAACCTGAATGATTATACTCTCTTATCTTCCTTTTGATGTCCATGAGGTGAAGCAAAAGAAAGAACAGTTCTTCCAGATTACTAGTTATGAGTCTTCATAAGGTGGATTTTGTAGAAATCTATGTACCTAAGTTACGGTAGGAAAGAATGAAATTCATCTATTGTTAGCCTGATCCGAATATTAGCCAAGTCTGATTTCTCAGATGTTCAAGAGGATCTTTGATTATATAAAGTTACCAGCTAATTACAGTCTCTGCATTGATTGTAAGCTCAAGTATCATTCCTCTCTCTTTCCTCATTGATCAAAATTTTAAGTGCTTCAGAAGTCACAGATGTTTCATTTTCAATTCCTCAAAGGGAGTATAATAACCGTGAATATAATTTGCTTTTCTGCCTGTTTTTAATCTTGTAGTAGCTTTGTCCCCCCTTCTCACCTGAGGATGCAGCCACTACTGATGTAAGAGATTACAGCTGGATGTTGAAGATGCCCTTGATGTAATAGCTGGAGTCACTCAGTCCTTGACCTATTTCTCAGAACCATAGCCCTTTTGTTATCACAAGTGTCAATGTGATGCTGGTGTTTTCTCTCTAAATCAATGTAGCAGTCTCTATTGTTTACTCCAGGGTAAAAAGCATTCTAGCTCCTTTAATTTTATTCTTTAATTCCTCCCCACCCGTCTCCCCCCACTCAAGGTAAGCTTGCCCTGCAATCTCTTAAATTTTACTACAAATCAACATAAACTGGTAGAGGTAGTGAAGGAAAAAAAACCCACATATATATCCACGAAGAATGTGGAAAGATTGCTCGAAGGAAAGCACTTTTAGATGTTTTTCTGATACCTACTGTATGTTCCAGTTCAGACATACTGGTGAAAATATCTCCATTCAAAGTTCTGCTCCTGTTGCTTGTATTTTTTGTGTTCGAAAAAACTGTTAGTGGGTCAGGTGGAATCCTCTAAGATTCCTACAAGGGGGAACAGTGGCATCTCTAGGACATAGAGCATAATATTATTAGCCTGCAAGGCGTGTGGTAAAGATTACACCACAGGTGCATAATCCAAGGGAATTGGAAGATAAGCTTTCTGTATGCTGGAGCATGCTGCTGCTTGGAAAACCATGGGGGTGAATTTTCTTGGAAGCAAAGAACTGCACACCAGAGGATGTCTTGAGTGGAAGAAGAGTGGGCATTATTTTATAAAATAACCTGTTCTTTGCTTAGGTGTGCTTGAGGTGTTGAGCTTTTAAATTCTGAGAAGTTCAGCATTCTGGTTGTTAGTCTAATAAAACCGCTGTTCAGTTGGAAAGCGTTTTTGTTTGTTGTCCTGAAGAACTCACTACAAGGAAGGAGATCTAGACAGATCTGCCTCCAAGACCTGGCTGACTGCTCTGAGTCCCAAAACACATTTGTCTTCATACATAAATGCCTAATAGGACTTCAGGTGATTTTTGGTGGCACCCTTTCCCCATGTGAAAATAATTGGTTATGATCAGTTCAGAGAAGTGTCTCTGCATATTTTAAAATGGAATGCTGGTATATGGTTTGTTATTATTTTTTTATATGTATATAATATTTTTATATCTAATTCATTCAGCATTCCATATGTGTGTAGTAGTGCTGGTCTAGGTCAAATTCAGGGCATTTTGCTGAATTCTTATCTTTTCATGGTTCCTGCATAAAACAGCTATTTAAGTACAAATCAAGGGTCTCTTTCTCATTGTAATTGGCCTTAATTAACTAATTTAAAACACTGTGATAAGTTATGGAAAAAAACTGTTGTCTGGTCAGTCTCTTGTGTGAAAGATGACCTTGGAAACTGTGGATGTGGTTTGACACATGTCATTTTGGCAGAAGTACTTGGCTGTGCTTCTATGGGGACACGCACCAAACTGGGAATAGCTGCACATTCAGGAATAACCCATTTATGCTTGCTTCCCGTGCCTGCTTTCCCTTAAGAAAGTGAATAAGGAATGTGTGGAAGATTTCTTAAGTTAGCATTGCAAAAAACAAGTGTTGCATAATGCCTTTAACATCAGGTGTTCATTAGGATTTGTTAGAAATACTATTTTTGCATATGGTGTTTGTTCTTCCAAGTTCATTTATCTGAGAAGCAAGTGAGTGACCAAGTCTTCTCTTCAGGTATGGATGCAGCATATACTGACACCTTGCCACGTGTCAGGGGTGGATGTAGGAGGGAAAGCTGCTTTCAAAACACTTGTGTTAAAAAGCATTCATTCCATTTTTCAAAGCCTGATCTCATTGGCCTGATACCATGAAAAACGAATGTTTTGCAGCTGTCTTTGGTAACAGAACTTTGCATGCCAGTGACAAAACTGTCGAAACCCACTGCAGTATTTCATAAATAACAGCATTTCTAGGTTAGCTAAATTTTCTCTTCAAAAATGTTATATAGCATCAAACAAAGTAGTTTCCCATACACGTAACCCAGATTTTTCAGAATGAGTTCTAATATTTCAAGTCCCAAAGATGTTTTTTTTTCGCTTGACAGATATGGCCAGAACTCAAAACATGCAGAAGTTACCCATGTCTAATTCTGGGCTGCTGATTGTAGTTCAAAACCAGCTGACTGAGTAAGCAGTCATGGTACTTACCTTCTAGTGTGCCTTTTTTACCAAAGTATTGAGCAGGCAGGACTGTCCAACTCAGAGATACACTGTTTGGGCAGCAATGGCAATAATCATGGGTTTTTTAAAGTAGAATATATGCTAGATTTTTGTTAATTCAGTATTTTGGGTTTGGGATTATTCTTCATTTCTTTGTTCCTTAAAGTTATCTTTCTGTAACATCTTTCAAAGCTCCAGCAGAACTTTTGTATGCCCTTTAAGAAATTTATTGCTGCTAGGACAGACTTGTTTCTTCCTCATCATTATACAGTGTTCATGTCCGGGTCTTATTTCCTCTCTTTCTTCAAGTCTTTCTCTCTTAAATGGATTGCTCAGGTCAGTGTGTAGTTACTTTGAGCTTACTTAATTTGAAAAACATAGTGATTTTCCTTTAAATACAAAATACCTGGAAATTTGGAGTTAGTCCATCTAAAAGTAGGAGGAAATATCCGGGTGAAAATTATTTCTATGGTCATTTCCTTGCTCCTTCTTTCCTTCAGGACAAAGCTTCTTCTAATTAGCTGAGGTGAATAGTTAGAAATATTTTTACAATACTACCTATTAGTCTCAGAAATTGTATTTGATTAAGTATTTATTGCTCTATGAAAGGTACAATTTAGAAAGCAGGTAGGTATTTTCCTAGTTAGATAATTTTGCTTCTTAAATGGTAGAACTTTGTAGACAAGGTTAACCATGAACTTCATATCAAAATACTGACAAGAAATTAACATAAGTTAATTTTTTTTTTGTAGTTTAAGCAGGCCATTTCCCCCCAGTACTTTCCAGTTGTGTGATTTTTGGGATCAGTGAGCAGAAAGAGACTCTTCAAGGTTACTAAATAGTGTTTGGGGTACATATTTTTTCTCTGGTAGTAGTACTGAAGGCAGAACAAGCCTGGTTCTAATTTCGGGAAGCATATTCAGGCATTGCTCACAAATATATTGTATCTCTTGCATGTATAGCTTCGAATGGTGAGGTGATTAAAGTGTAACCTTTCCTGCCTGGCTTTCAGGGTGGAACATGCTTGCAACAACACACAGTGCAATATGAGGCTTCGTGGTAGTATTTCATGGGATTTGGTACATTTGTTTTCAAATAATCCTGTTCATGTTGTTTCTGTAGGAATGTTTCATAGGATTGTGCTTAGTTGTTGTTTTTAAAATAGCTATTACTCTGCTTTCTCAGAATAACAGCCTTAATTCTCTAAGTTGAACAGTTGTGGAGAAAGCAGGAGGTACCAAAATGCAGATTTAACCTTACCAGTTCACTTCAGTTCTTTGTACCTTAGAAATGCCTATGCATTTTTCCATTTATTGAATTTTTAATATGCACTCTTTCTTCCTCTTTAGGATGAAGAGAATGGGAATAGACAAGGTATGTCTTGTTTTTACTCTTTTATAGATCCAGTATATTGAATGCTTCATCTGTGTAATAGACTTGAATTGATACTAAGAGCTTGAAATTTAAAGTCACTTCAGTGTGAGTATCGAACTCATTGATTAATCACTTTATTCTAGGTTATGCCAGTCAGTTCCTCTCCATTTTCATAGCATTCTCCCTCCCGCATTGCCTTTGTCTGCTTTCTTTCTTAATTCACACATGAACTTATTTTTTATAAATTCGTGCTAAATCTCCATCCCAGCTAAATGAAGTTTCTCTTTGGTACTTAGCTATTTTCTCATCCATGCTTCCTTTTTGCTGGTATCTTACTGTTCCCTTAAAAGAGTGAAAATCATGTTGATTTAAGGAAGTTAGTTTTCAGATTGGGAACCCAGTCCCGCTTTGTTTCCCCAGTGTGCCAGGATGGTGAGGTACAGGGGCCGTGGGATTGAGTGCCCTGTGCAGGGTTCCCCAGCTGGGCACGGCGCTGCCCCGAGCCAGGGACACTGTGGGCTGAGGGCTGCTTCTGGTGGTGGGTTCTCTTTTGCAGCAAAGCATGGCACCTGCTTTCAGTGTTCCTTTGAGTTGGAAGTTCCTTTGAGTTCCTTTAGTTGGAAGACAGAGCATATGTCTGAACTCCTTTTCCATTTCCTTTGTATAACTGTGATGTATTAGAAGCATTCTGGGAAATAAGAATTTATTTGAACTTTCTTAATTTTCTCTTGGAAGCAGATGTATTAATCCATTTCATCCTCCCAGTTTTACTCAGCTATCATCACCTGCATGTTGAGCAGTGAAAAGTTCATCTCTTCCTGCTTCTTATCACTCCCTAAACTTGAAACATCCTTTATCTGTTTTGACATACAAAATGAGAAGGCAGATTCCTTTAGGAAGGGAAGGGAGTTGAATCTGAGCCAAACCAGTATGGAAGACACCACTTAGGATCTATAGAGAATAAAGTTCTGTGTGTTCTTGTTCTCACGGGGAGAACTCAGGCAGCTAAAGATGTAATGTAGATCTGTTTATCTAAAATGGTGTCTGATAGCTATTTTTCAGTAGAGAAGCAGCAGTGTACTTGGTTCCACCGTGTGTGACCTGTGAAGGTGGAAACAAGATTACTTTCTGGAAATTTTTGTGTAACTTCTAAATCCATTAATATTGCTTATTTATAGCACCATAGTATGTTGTATGCCTTGAAATACAGATCAGAGGGCACAAATACCCTGAAAGTTAACAGTATTCTCATGGAGGAGAGAAGGTTGGACTTGTCACCCTGGAAAGAGAAGAAATGACTGTGAGGCAGAGGATGTAGATATATCAGTAAAGCTTGACCTGCCAATTTTGTGTATTAAACCTTTAAAAACAGCAAAATGGAACAAAGTGTGTTGGACACTTTTCTCCAGAATTTGACATGATCCCTGGGGGCACAGGGGGGATAAAACTGTCTTCGGTTGCTGCAGGTTGTTCCTGTTCCCAAATAAAGGGGAGTAGGCAGCTTGAGAGAAGAAAAGGAGGAAAAACGCGCGTCTCATTTTGCATGTTCGCAAAAGTGATGTTTGTTCAGCAGCAGCAGGTAGGGCGGAAGTTGTGCCGGGTTATCCCCAGGTTATCCCGGGTTTGCTGGAGCGCTCCGCAGCGGAGCCCGGCATGGATGGAGCCGCTCCGGCGGGAACGGCGCCGGGCGCCGGAGCCACCTCGTGGCGGGTCCCGGCATTGCAGCCAAGTTGGCAGAACTGGCGTCTGGGAAGCCCTGCCGAAATTAACTGAAAATACCCTACTGAGAAAGACTTTTCTTTTGAAGTTTGTACATGATAATGCACTTAATTCGCTTGATCTTTGCTCTCCGAAAGAGTAAGCTAAGGGAATCTAAGCATTTCGTTTTTGTGAAGCAGTGTTTGCCAGTGCAGAAGTGCATTTTTTTTGTATCAGTTTTCAGTGAAAATTTACAGTTTATGCCTTGCCCTTGTCATAAATTAGGCTTACTTGTTAAAAATGAGGGTTTCGTATCAAATTCAGCATTTATGTATTTGATGAGGTGAGTGTGGATAAAAGCATCTCTATTGCTGTTACCTTGCATTGAGAGAACTTGAATATTTTTCCAAAGGATCAGAGCATGTAATTAAGTCTAGGGGGCAGACAATAAAAGCATGGACCCTATGATGTATTCTATCAGTGAAAGAAATACTTTTATATATTTTAGGTTCTGATACAGAATTTTAGAGTATAGTTAGATCTAGCTCCTGGCTTGCATTAGTCTTCTTTTTAATAAGCAGTAAAGTTTCAAAGCCTTTATATAATGGAAGCTAATGCAAATTTGTCCAGGAGACCTCTTCACTAGGAATGACACCAGAGGGAGATGATGGCCCAAAAGCAAGATCGGGTTGTCAGGCAAAGAAGTTAGGATGCTGTCAACAGAAGATACCTCATGGTCAACAGCAGTGACAGAAGAGGACCACTCAGCTGTATGCACATGAACAAGAGAGAGCCTACATGGCATGGAGCTCTCATGCCTTTTTCAGGAGCTGGCTGAAGCCCCTGCACACTCACACAGAGGTGGTGGGATATGTCACAGGAGAGGACCAGGGTGCTGCAGTGGATGGGCAGAGGCACTTGGGGAAGAACAGGTTGGGGGACCATGGGGATTGAGTTGCCTTTGTGGTCTAGCTGTGAGAACAGCAGGGATGGATGGGGAGCTGGCTTGGGATGGATGGGGAGCTGGCTTAGAGCCCGTGGTCAGCATTTGTGGGCACTGTTTGGTGGGGGTCTGCTGCTGCCCTCTCATGGAAGAAGTAGCCAAGGCTTTCTTCAGACAAGCGGTGGAGGCTTCACATTTACCCGTGCTGCTTCTTGTGGGAGACTTTAGCACCCCGTTACCTGCTGGAATGGCATCACAACAGACTTAGCCTAATTATTTTGTAGTTATTATTTTAAGTTTTTCAGTTCTTTTCCTACTTTCACTGCTCCAGGTTGTTGCTTAAGCCAAGTCATGGAAATGCTTCTCTAACCAGGTGCATTTTATCAGAAGACACAGATTTTCCACAGTGGATTCTTTGGTCGCTGACTGGAAACTTTATCTGCTCTCCAGAAAATCTCTTATATTGACCAACCCGTGTTTGGTATTTCTTGGCGTTATTACCCCATGAAATAACTTGGAGTATTTATTTTGTGTGTTTTGAAGATGGCTTGCCATTGGTTTGCCATTCTTCCTATTTTCTGGAATTTCCCTGTTTCAATACTTGGTTATTTAAGTGGTATTTCACAGATAGATAGAAGTCTTCCAGGAGAGTATACCAGGAGTATTTGGAGCCAGATTGAAAAATACCTATAACCTATTAAAAATCTAGCATTCTTATTAAATACTTGCACTGTCAAGATGTGATGAGTGAAGCTGGAGGAAAACTTCATGCCATTTGACTGTGCATTAGTATTATTATTATGTTGTCTTTCAATACAGGTTGTGTACATATGAAGGTAGTTTCTTACATCTTGTCCTAAAACATGTTTTCCTTTAAAGAGGTTTGGCTTGGTGATCATGATTAAAGTGAACAGTGGTAGGCGAATCTAGTATCATTATTATCCAGTATCTTTTTTTTAAAGTATGATATTCTTGCTTTTTGTACTTTTATCTCTTTTTCTATGTAGAAGTACCTGTAGCAACTAGGAGCTCCTTTTCCCATAAAAATGAAAGTCAACTTAGGTATATTATTTGGTGTATTTTTTTGTAGAAACCCAGTGTGTGCTTGTTAATTATTTCATTTTGTTAATGAGAAGTCTAGAACATTAAACTTTATCACCAGGCTTTTCTTCTTTTCATTGTGCCTAAGTATGTACAAAAGTTTCTACCCTTCAGTTTTCTATGCTAAATAGTTGCAATTTATTACCTGACTTTCTTCAGCTGTGCAAGTCTGCTTTGACAGGGCAGAGCCTTTTAGAGAAGGGTGGAAAAAATGCAGGAAGAGCTTTTTTTCCTCTATTACTGCTGCTTACATAAGGCCTGGAGTTTTTAATATTTAATTTCTTTTAACAGACTGTTGATTTCTGTAGTTTATGTTCTCCCAGGATTTAATTTAATCCGGTGTTTTTTAACATGGTTTATCAGCTCAGTCTGTTATGAAATAAATATATTGTGCCTGTGATGATGGGAAAAAGGTAGATAAGAACAAGAGGATGACTGTGAAAGCAAATATTTGGAAAGGTCATAGATGGCTGGGGTGATATGGTGCAAGGTATATGATAATAGAACTAGGAGTAAAAGGCAGGAGGTGTGTAACAGTAATAATACTTCAGCATAGTGGGACAGTAAATTGCCCTTTTTTATTGTTTTCTGGTCCAAGTTAATTTTTAACGCTTAAATGTTGAGAATGCTAAAAAAGGGCTCACTTACTTTTGCACTGAGACCACAGCCTGATGATTCCTTGTTCCCTTATAGTACTTCTAGAACGTCTAGTGGCTTTGTCTCATGTATAATGATTCTCAGTGGTTTCTGTTGAGTTCAGATCATCTTTTTGAATAAGAACGTGAAATGTAATTTCCAAGGATTTAAGGGAGAGTCCGTAGATTCACTACTACAGATAAAAATTGTTTTGCTCTATGCTTATCTAATGACTGTAGTAAATCCTCTAGACTAATCATAGATTAAATTTTAAACTTGAAAATGTTTCATTTGAGAGAATTGAATGAAGTAATAGTAATGGCAAATAATGCAATGAGAAAACAAAATTTTGGAGAGTTTGTAACTAAGCTGAAACTGTGTTATATATTTTCCATAACACTGCTAAATTTTCTCATCTTCTCCTGCCTTGGCATGTCGATAGGGTTGAGGTTGTATTAATCAAATGGTTTAACAGAAAAGTAAGCAAAAGAAGAAATACCATTTTGGAGTTGCCTAATCAAAATGCCAGGGGTGCAGTGAGAAATAAGAATGTATTTTCCCCGTGTTACAGAGTTGAATACCAGGTGTTTCTCTGCTAAATGACTGAACAGTACTAATTTAC